AATAAAATCATTTCCTAAATTGACGTAGTGTTTTGGCAACAGATTGAAATTCTTTGGCTGTAAACTTTGAAAGTTCACCCTGCATCCACTCTCTGTTTTGACTTGCTGGTTAACTTTTCCCTGCCTGATCAAATCCCGTCACGGCGGCTGGAAGCTGTTTGCTCGGGTGCATGTTGGTTCTTCTGACTGTTCAGGACAAACACAAGCCCGCACAGTGTTGGAATGAAGAAATATCATTTTGCTTCATCTAAAGTTTTTCATGAAGAGAAACTTCCATGAACGTCTTGTTGGCGTCATTTCAGAGGTGGTTCAGCTTCTTCTCGTCTCCTCTCTCGGTCTTTGGTTTAATGCTGTGATGACTGAACTGAGGCGCTGGCTGGCATTGGTCCAAAAGGCGGCGTCCTCCCCGTCCTTTCAGTCCCACCTGAGTCTGCTCTGCTCCGACAGCCGAACACCCTTTTATCACCTGGGTGGAGTTTGAAAGGTGAAACTGAGGAAACGAGATAGATTCCTTCATCACAGCAGGCTGTGAACGTGTCCTGGTGTGACAGCTGCTGACTAAATACTCTTTTTCCTGTGAAACCAAAGTTATGTTGGAGAACAGAAAGTTTAAAGTGTAAGTCTGGTGTTATTTATATTCCATTAAACGGTCCCTCCAGGACTTGGCGGGCCTGACCCCGGACCCTGAACCCGGACCCCGGCCCCCGGACCTTGACCCCGGACCCTGCATGATTAAACCAGCTGACTCCGTCCTGCAGCTGAGCGGATGCAGCAGCCTGTGTCTCAGCTTGTGTCTGACGTTCTCTCTCAAAGTGTTTGTCAGGAAACAATTTCCTTTATGTTCGACCACGATGCTGCACGTTCTGCAGAACAGTCTGGGTCCTGGTCTTCACGGCCCTTTGCTGTTTATTTCTGTAGGTAAATGTGAGACGTTGGCATCACACGTCAGCTGCGTCTTCTGAACAAGGACGTGAGTTTGCTGACGTGTGACAGCGTTTTTTAAGAAACGTGAGGTCAAAATTGCAAGATTCTCTGAATTCACGGGGATTTGTGTGAAGTTGTGTTGATCACAACATCATGAAATCCTGGAGCCACGGATAAAGATCCAGTTCAGATATTCGGTACCAAGTGGTTTGATAGTGTTTATGGCTGCGTAGAGTTTAGAAGCTGTTATACAGGACTCTTGGGTGGCCGGGTCCCCACCCGAAGGCCCGGGTCCACACCCGAAGGCCCGGGTCCACACCCGAAGGCCCGGGTCCACACCCGAAGGCCCGGGTCCACACCCGAAGGCCCGGGTCCTGAATTAAACCAACATGAGGATGATGCAGTGTTTCAGTTTCCCCTGAACACAGAAGACAAATCTAATCCCCTAAAATATTCAGTTGTGCAATAAATATGTGAGCACTTTATCTTGGTGCAACAGAGCAATGTGCAATAACTATCCACCTTGGCACACAAACCTCAGTTTATAGTGAGCAGTAACCACACTGACACGTGCACTTTAATCCATGACACCATGTTGTGAACAACGTCCTGTTTCTTCAGATTTTCCTCTTGTGAAATGCTTCATTGTGTCAGCTCAGGTTCAACTGTGCTCACGTCCAACCTGATCTAACTTACCAGCCGCTCCAGATTGTTTTCACCAAGGAGAAACTCGAGCTGTCCAGAGAGTGTAAACAACAGCATGAAGTGTCGTTTGACTGTTGGTCGTACAGTCGGCAGGTAGAAAGACAGCAAACCTTTCTAACTGAGAAACGTTCTGTTCAGCCCAAATATTCAGAGCAGCTCGCCCCGTGAATTATTCTTTGCCTGTGATTTACAGCCACACAGGAAGTACAGGAAACACAGCTTTTAGATGTTGTTGGCTGGTCTGTAACATTTGGTAAAAGAGGGTTTGAAGCTGGAATCAAAGGGAAACAGTTCAACAGTTTAGAGTCACATTATCAGAACGTGCAAACTACAAAATATATCGTTGACGTGAACCGTGTAGATCCGAAGAAGCTTCGCCGCTGAGGGACGCTACCGAGATTTCACACGATCGTTAAGGATTTTGGAGAGCTTCCTCTTGTCATTCATCAAATGACCTCTACGTGACCGTGGCGATGTCAGGGCTGTGAGTGAGGGAGAGATCGGCAGAAAGTGACGGTGAAAGTTGAGGCTCGTGCAGACTACACGACTTTCAGCGTCGGCCGATGGCTCGCCGTCGTGTGGCGGGAGTCTTGAAGTGGTTGTGACGTTCACACGACGTGACTGATCGGTGACAGGAGGTCACACACTACACCAGCCGACAGCGGCCGAGTCACCAGACGCTGGTCTCCAAACCACCTTTTGTCAAGGAAACAAATGAGGCGACACGGCACAGGAAACAGCTGTTTGTCATCATACAGCTGGTTCAGCACAGCAGGCATCGTCTGAGCTACGGGGAGCTGGAGGGGAGGAAAAAGCGTTTTGTAGTGAAAAAGTAGCGGCCTGCTCTCATTGGCTGAACGTGGAGTCGGCCGACTAGATATCTCTAGCAGTCTGACGGTCGCCGAGCAGCAAATCGGGCAAAATAAAAATGATGGCGTGTGAACTCGGCTTTAATGAAGGGAAAAGATCAGCATTAAGTTGCAGCTCTGTCCTGAACTCATACTGTCCAACTTAATAGTTAAAGCTGAGGCTAGAAACAGTGAAGCAAACTAACGTCAGTCCTTTAAGCTAATGAGATGTTTCTTTAGGATTTAATGAACAAACGAAATGCTTGTAACTGTACAGAAGGGAGGAGCCTGTTCACGTCTACAAATGTTAAAATCAGTAAATGAAGAAGATTTCCGGCTCAAATCGGCTTGGTGCTGCGCCGTGAATGTAAAATCTTGTAGAGGGCAACAAAACTGACTAAAGTACTTTCCCCAGATCTAATGCTTGTTATCCCTCCCCAGCAGACGTCTTTAGCATGTTCAGCTCTTGGGTTGTAGTTTATTCAGACTCTGCTCTGGATCTTCCTGCTTATTATTCACAGAGTGGAGATAATAAATCGTGGTCCAGAGTTTACTATTTCTTTATTGGAAAACATATAAAATGTTCATATAAAGCAGCAAGCACACAGAGAAAATACATTTGCTTGACCTCTGCTGCCACAACGCCGTCCTAGGGGAAACGCCATGTGGCAGCATCACGTCTCTGAAGTTGAAACTAGACACGATAACAGAGGAACAGTTGAAAATACCTTTCTTTTCTTTGTTTACGGGGGCAGACGTGTCACCTTTTCATCCCTTCTGAGTTTGCTGGTAGGTTGTTTTGATCATCACGTTTTTCAGCGGATTCATCCAGAGAGCAGAGGTTGCAGCGATCAGAGCCGAGCAGCAGGGGTCGCTGTGACTCTGCTGTCTCTGCCTTGCTTCTCCTGCTGCTGACTTTAAACCTGAGTCGCGCTGGTGGTTGGACGGTGTGGTGATGAATTTTGTTGGAGGATGTAAGACATCAGGAAGTTCTGACTGCAGCGACTCTGCTGGATCCGTTCTTTCCTCCCCCACCTGGTTTTACACTGCTTCAGTCAGTGTCCCTCCACCTGGTCGATGGTTAAGTTTCTCCTTGGCTGCATGTGTGCCACTGAGAAGAAGCTGTCGTCTGTAAGAGGTTGATTTGGTACATGTAACATAGAGTTTGTGAATTTTTACATTGTTGATTAAATGAGGACTCGCTGCTGAGGCCTGACGGCAGACTCGGGCGCTCTGTGGAGGAGGGAGACGCTGCAGTCCAGGCGGGAGATGTCAAACCCCCGAGCTGCCTCCCTGCTGAGGTCGAGGGGAATCCTGATGGTCAGGACGATGCGAGGTGGTCCCATCCTGATCCCCTTCAGCTGGCTCAAACACTTTGTACCGCAGCGTGTGTCACAGTTATCAAGGTTAAAGCAGATTTCAGTTAAAACAACCAGCATCAGCGTCAGTCATCAGAATCAGAAAAGCTTTTATTGCCAAGTAGTTTTTAGGGATTTGTTTCAGATGAGGCGCTACACGTAGACAAAGACAAACATACAGCTGACATAAATATATATGGGATAGACTGACAAAATATAAATATAGAAGAATTATGATAACACTTGAACAAATATGATATGTATGATGAATAATATAACAGCAAATATGTGCAATGATTCATCAGCTGTTTCCTTCAGGCTCCTCCTGCTGTGAATTATATTACCCTGAGCGTGGCCGTCTCCAAGATACATTTTTATGTGTCAGCAAATAGACATTGAGCTGGGGGGGGGGGCGTCTTACCCCACTCTACCCTAAATGTTCCTCTTTCTGTAGCGTCAGTAATATCTGTGACTGAAGCAGGTCACGTGACCTGGTTTCCTCTGACTGAGACTGACAACATCAAATATTTCAACCTAATGTTCTGCAAGCAAATATTATTTCTGTAGAACTGCTTTGCTCGTGCCGCCACCTCGTGATTCTCTGTGCAGGAATAAAACCCGTCCTCTTAACGAACCCACAAAACAGGCCGATGGTCAAGTGTCCCAAAGCGTGTACGAGCGTTGGAAAGCAACGTCGGCTGTCTACAAAATGTTCTGCAACTCCCCCCCTGTTAGTGATGACTTAGGTTCCCAGGTATTTGTTAGTTACTTTAGTTTTTCCACCCGTTAACATGATGCTTAACACGTGCTTTTACTTTGGGAACATTTAGCAGAAAAATACTTTTTATACTTTTAAAATGACTTGTAATGTTCACAGTAGTTTTTACACTGTGGTATTACTGCTTGAATACTTGCAGATTTTGTATGAACAGAGCGGAGCTGCAGGCTGACGAGGAGGATGAGGAGGAGGTCGACCTTCAGACAGCGTCCTCGCTCCTAATGATGTAAGACCCAGATCAGTGAGTCCTGATTGGGCGGATCTTCCCGGCGCTCAGCTGTGTTTACCTGCTACAGAGAGGATTTACCTGGTCTGAGACGATAAACAGAGGATGAAGGTAAACTGCAGGCGGTGATGATGCAGCCCGTCAGAGAACGTTTATATTAAATCTCTTAAAATTAAATCGTCTCTGAGTTTGAAGAACGTTAAATGAAATGAAATTCGCTGTGAAGTTTGAGTTCAAATGGCCCCGAAAAGCTGGTCGGAGGGTCCGCAGTGATGTCAGCTGTGTGGGAAACCCAGTGCTACACATGGAAACACACACGAACCCACTTTCCCACGGGGGCAGTGGCAGTAGCTGCATCAGCTGTTAGCTCGATCCCTGTGATGATTTCTGACCGTTTGTTCTGGGCGTCACGCTGAAGGATTCATCGTGTGTTTCATGTTTCTGCGATCAGATCTGACTCTGAGGAGGAAGAGGGAGACTTCTGACTCACGTCCTGCAGGATCTCGCCTCCTTTCAGCCCTTCGGCGCCGCCCTGAGGAGGCTTTAGTCTTCGTCCTGCTGAACGACTCTCACAGACCTGGACCCGTATTTATCCAGCTTCTGATACACTGATAAGAACTGACTTAAGAGAAAAAAAGATCTTGGCTCAAAGCTTGAAAGTTTGTTATCGAGCGTCTCAGAACTAATGAAGTGCAGGACTAAATGTTAAGTGTCCGTCTGAGAGCTGATCCACGACACTTTGCTGCGCCGCAAACAGGATTTTGGATGACGATGTAGGCAAGGACCAATCACTGAAGAGATTTCTTTATTATAATATTCTCAGATAAACTGGGGGTGGCGATGGCGCAGTAGATGAGACTCCCGGCTGCAGCACATCCACCGACGTGTCCCTGAGCCTTCCTCCATGTGCGACCTCTGACATGTACAGCAATTAGAAGTCGCTTTGGATAAAAGCGTCTAAATGAATAAATGTAAATGTTGAAAGGTGAAATTCCTCATCTTATTTGCATGAATTGTGTTTTCTTCTGTTGGATTGGGGGGGGGGGGGCATCCATGACTATTGTTTCCAGGTGACGTCCGTCACCAACTCGCTGACAAAGATGATGCTGCTCTGTCCAAACGACGGCGTCTAATTAACTGCACATGGTCAAATAATTCAGAAACATTCTGCATGTCTCCTCAGTCCATCGGCAGCCTCTGCCGGCAGCTCCTGCCCAGCTGAGAGGCCCCTGGAGCTTCTTACATAACTGGGAGAGTGAGAGAGATTCTCAGCTTGAAGACATTTCATAACTTGCTTTTATTTGAAAGTCGGAGTAAATTTCATGAATTCTCAGCACTTAAGACTAAAATGGCTCTTTGAGAAATACGGGCCCCTGTTGTTTTCTTCGTGGTTGTTGTCGCCTCGCCGTCCTTCACGCTGACCTCAGACCAGCAGAGTTCAGAACAACCTGCAGCTCTGCTGAGCTCTGATTGGACGGTTTACTGTTAAACGCTGAATCTTGGACACACATCAGCGAGCACGAGTCCCCGCAGCCTGCGATGCGCCTGCTGATCACGGGATCGATCGTCGGTCACGTGAACAGGTTCAGGCGTTCAGGTGAGCAGCAGGGGATGATGGGATGTCTGGAGAGGACGGGCAGGGAGGAGTGTGACCTGTGTTTCAGGTCGGCAGCGATCCTGTGATTTTTATTTTAAAAACAGGTTTAAGTTTCTTCTTGTATTTTGAAACACAGACCGTCTTTGGATTCAGAGTTCGACTCATCAGGATCCAGCTGACAGCAGCCTGGAAGCTTCAGTTCACTGAGACAACATTCAGTTTAAACAGTGACTCCAGTCAAAGTAAAAATACCTCTATATAAAATACTCTTCCATCAGAATGTGTGCTCAACCCTTTCAGATGTTTGGAGGCCAGTTATAGCTCCATGCAACTGTTTTTGGACCAATATTGAGTTCCACTGAGTCACTTTTTATGCCGTTGATGCAGTGGACACGTTTCAAAATAAAATATACTGGGGGGGGCCTTTAAAAATAAAAACAAACGTTATATTACTTTGTGATTTATTAATTCATGCATAAAAGGATTAGAGAAGTGCAGAAGTATTTGCAGCTAAATGGACTTGAAGTATTAAAAGTAAAACCAGCCGCAGATTGTATTTTATCAAAATATTATTAGTTTTTAATTTTTCATTATTAATCTGAAGCTGCAAAGAAAATAAAGTCACCAAATAAAAGTAAAGTACAATATTTTCCCCCTGAAATGTAGTTGAGTAGAAAAATAAAAGTAGTATAAAGTACTATGTCGTTAGTAGTTAGATACTCAAATTAAATACCTCGAAACTGTATGTAAGTACAGAACTTGAATAAATGTACTTAGTTACTGTCCACCACTGTCTGGATGTTCTCTTCTCTGATTGGCTGACGGGGGCGTGCTGTCTGGGCGTTCTGCCAGACACAGGAAGTGGCAGCTCTCCAGCTGACCTCATAATGAGATAATATTGACAGTATGGTGGGTGAGTTTGGCGAGCTGCCGTCTTCTTCTGTGTTCGACTCGCAGCTCTGATTCAGATATAAACAATAAAAAGACATTTTAAAAACAAGAGAGAAAAAAACAAAATCTATCTTAAATTGAAAATATGTCTTTTTGAAAAGCACTTTTTAAAATAAACAATTAAAAAAATAATGTGGTGATATTACAGTACATTTATTTAGTTGTTTATTGTTAGTTGTTAGGATTTACTGCCATGATTTGGCATTTGGACATTTCTCCCAGTAAATAGGAGTTTCTGTCTAATTTAAATTTCACTTCAGGATATATTATATAAATATGTCTTTGTATCTCCAAAGTAAAAGCCTGAGTTTCAGCCAGCTGTACCTAATAATGTGGTAACTGCTGTGTTTCAGCCGATTGCAGGAAGACGCCGCTCTTCAGCCTGAAGCTCCAGCGGATCGACGGACGGCACGTTTCAGCGGTGAGTTTGGCTGAAACACTTCCTGTGTTGTAATCCGATTACTCTGAATCTTCACGTGCTCTGAAGTTTGTTGGTTCCCCAGTAACATTATCCAGATCACATGGTGCTGACAGTACACGCTAATATTATACTGTTGTTATAAATATACTCATTATTAGTATTTATTCCACATTAATGAGCAGAGAGGTGACCGCTGTCGCTTAGTAACAACAAACAAAACATTAAAGAAGAAAATAAAATGAACAAATATGCAAATGAGCAAACAAGCTGTTACATATTCAGTAGTCAGTTAAAAGTTATTACTTGATTTCATCAGACCGGTTAAATGTGGAAGCAAATGGAAATATTTCAGTCTTACAAGCAGCTGAATAACAATGATGTCACTTCTGAATACTTTATGTTGAAATTTAATTTAATCCGAGTGTTTCTAAATTTTTTAGGGTTCAACAAAATATTTAAAACTTCAAATATGAGCAGTTTGCAAACAATTCTGATTCTTGGTGCTTGAAGTATTTAGTAGTGACATTTCAGTTATTCAGATGCTTTTAAGATTGAAATATTTTGTGCTTTCATATTTAACTCTTTGATATTTTTGGTGTTGAATATTTTATTTGAGTTGAACAGCAGCGGTGGACGAGGTGTTCAGATCCTTTGCTAAAGTAGAAGTACTAATACCACGTGGTGTATTAACCCTAAGCTTCTGTTACAAGTAGAAGTCCTGCTTTGAAAATGTTAGAGGTCATATTCTGCTTTCTGGCTTTTCCCCTCTCCTTTATTGAGTTTAAATCTTTTTAGTGCATGTAACAGGTTTGCAAAGTGAAAAAGCCCAAAGTGAGTTCCCATCTCTCACAGAAAACTCTGCTCTGAACTGAAAACAGCTCGTTTGTAGTCCAGCCGCTTCCCTTTCATCCCTGTGACGTCAAAATAAGATGAGGAACCTGAAAATGAGCAGAATACAACCTCTTTAAGTAAAAGTAGAATGTAAGTAATTAAAATGTCCTTAAAGTATTACAAGTAAAAGTGCTAAAGCAGCTAAAGGAACCTCAAAATGATAAAAACATATTAAAATATTCAAAAGGAAAAGCATCAAATCTTCACATCAAATGTTTTTATGTAAAAAATGATTATCAAAATAGGACCAGCTGTACTTGTATAAACTGTTTAATTTATAACAAACATCATATTTTATGTACTCTTCGTGTTTTTGTGTGTAGAAATCTGACTAAAGCTGCCAGATAAGTACAAGGAGAAAATACTCAAGCAAAGTAAAAGTACCTCTAATTTGTACTCAAGTGCAGTACTTGAGTAAATGTACTGTCACCAACATGTCTACCTCTGTTGAATAGTGCGTGTATTAATAAAGCTTCATTTAATCCGTTCTTGTTGTCAAAAGCAGAACAAACTCATTTAATGATGCTCAGCTTGACTTTCTATCCAACATGAATCATTTTCATGTGAATATCTGATCTTCCAGTCGTGTGCTGAGGACGAGCCGGTGCGTTTAGAAATATCTCCCGTGAGCCACAGGTTATGTGATCAGACTTCTAAATACCTTTTAGTTACCTCGCTGCCTCTTTACCTGACAGTCTTCTAAATTAATAATTGAATTCTTCATTCAGTCAACAAGTAAAAGCGTCGCTCTGATCTGTTTGTGTCTGTAAACCTGTTCTCTGTAACACAAACCGTCGTCTGCGTCCAACACAAAGAGCCCTCGTACTCTTTAATAAACTCATTACATGATTCGGGGCTGGAAAGTAGTTCACTGTACTTTTGAAGTTCTTCAATATTTTGCTGCAGTGTTTCTGCTCGTGGACAGGAAGAGACAAACTTGATCATGAGGATAGAAGATGAAATATACTTAATAAACTACCAGACAAAGAGTTAAACACTCTGTAAAACATATTTAAAGTATACTGTAAGAACAAACTGGACGAAACAGAAACATGATTTATTTTGTGGAACATTTTTTATTGGTGCATTTATCAAACACAGATTCCTACACTTCTTTTCTTTTCTCTCTGAAATCATCTTCAAAGTTAAACCAGTAAATGTAATTTGAAGTTTTATTTTTCCTGCTCATGCAGTGCAGAAAAAGTGTCCTGATGAGGCCCGGTGACCTCTGACCCCCTCGTTAGCTCTTTAGCCAATCAGATAAATGCATTCTCTAACAGGACTTTATAAGCATCCAATAAGAAAATATACAAAAACAGATTTTTTTGTCTTTCAGAGAATAGAATATGCAGACGTTTAGATGTAGAAAAACACTTTCTCTCAGGATGATTGTAAACCAGAGACAGCAGGGAGGTCTCACTCCGCCCACAAAATCCCTCCTCCGGCTGCGTTAACATTTCTCACGCCACGAAAAAACGGATTCCATCCACACAAAACGACGACGAGGAACCAAGAAAGGGATGACGGACCAGAGAACCCACCTAACCGTTATTCATCAAAGCACAGGACTACAAGGACCAGAATGCATTGTGCAAGCAGGAACATAAAAGGAGAAAAACAACAACAACAAACACCTGACGGGTTCCTTCATTTCTCCCCCGATGAGTTCATATCTCATGAATTTCCTCCTGCATTTTTTAAAAACAGAAAAATAAAACAAAAACTTGATTTTCGCTCTTTTTGTTCCGACAAGGAAACGTCCGTTTGTTTCCGTCGTCCTCCATAAGAGTCCAAGTGCTACATCTTCCGTCCGTCCTCCATCACAGTGCGTTTGTTACAGATATTCATATATATATATACTGCATTTCCCAGCATGCCCCTGCTCACACACACACAAGGACACACTGCTCCTCCATCAGCGGAGATGGAGGGATGAGATGAAGAGGAGAGAAAAGTCTGCTCGACCACACGGTGTCGCTTTTCCCCAGAAACAAAGTCGGTCACTAAAAACTCAGCACCAGCGGGAAAAAGGCCATTTTTGATTGGTTCATTTTTGTTTTGCGCAGAACATTCGTTTTTTATTTTACAACAAAATGAGTATTTAGAAAAGAAAATGATGCGACTCCTCCCCTTGGCATAACCCCGCCCCTTGTGGCAGAGGTGGGCGTGGTTAACTGTACCCCTGTAGCTGCCCCGCCCCCCCAATAAGAAAAGTCTTTGGCAGATTTATAGAAGGGAAAGGCTTCTGCTGCTGGAGGTGGGCGAGAGACATAGAGGAAGAATGAGAGAGCGAGCTTTTATATTCATGATTACAGTCACAGAAACGAGCCACAACATCCAAACTATTAATCTGTGAATCAGCAGCATATTAATCTGACAGGTTTGATTCAGGCTGATCGTTTTTTTTTATAGCGTTTATAGACGACTCGATGTCTGCTGTACGACGCTAGCTCGTCCTGTACGTCTGTCAAACTACGTTAGCTTCAGTAGCCACAGATTTAACTGCTTTTAGGCGTCGTCAGTCACATCAAACTAATTTTTGTTGGATTCTACTGGCAGTTCATTTATTGATATAAAACCAGATTAAAACGTTACGATTACTTTATGTCGAGTATATAAATATAATATCATAGAACATGTGAGCTAAATTGGTAGAAGCTCTGAGGAAAACAATCCAATTTTACTTTTGCTGTCTTTTCTCTGTGACCTCGAAATGGAGCTCCTGAAATCACAAACTAAGATTTTATATATATAAAATAATATATCTTGTGCACAGAAGATCTGCATGTTGTTTGCATTTGTTCTCTAATGTGGCGATTTTTGGACTGAAGAATCTCCTCAGACTCAAACAAAAGACGCTTTTCACAACTTTTTGTTTTACAGTTTCTTCACAAAATGATTAATTGAATATACTGATTGAAGTTGAGGCTGGTCAGCTGCGTACCGACCAATCAGAGAGAGAGTTTAGGTGATGATGATTGAAACTGAATTATGATCCGTGAACTGATTTTGTTTGCAGTTTTAATGAAGTCTTTTGAACAACTGTCACATTATTAGTTATCAGTCCATTCAGAGGCGCATTCATCTGTCCTGAAGGGCTGAAGTTCATGAGTGTTGACTTTTGTTGCTGTGTGTTTCAGCTGTGGCAGATTTCTGACGGTCATCATCAGAGAAACTGGCTTGGACTAACAGAGAGCTGGTGGACGTGACTGAAGCTCAGGTATCTGTTTCTGCTGGTGTTCATGCAGAAAAGATGATGATCAGCTGATGAGTTTCTGTGTGCATTTCTCCACAGACTGAAGCTGGACTGCACTGACCTGTTTCAGACTCCCCTCAGGTAAATATCTGCTACAATCACTGCGTGTTTTGATGCGGCAGAGGCTTCAGCCGGCAGCTCGCTCTGAAATCTGGTGAGAGGCGAGCTGTTGCAGGAAGTGTGAGTCAGAGCTGGAGGGGAGTTTGTGTTGGAATAATGTTAGGAAATAAAGTCTCGCTAACAGCTCCTCTACGTACACAAGAGTCTCCTCTGCCTCGTTTCCACCGGCGTCTTCCTGCAACAGCTCGCCTCTCACCAGATTTCAGAGCGAGCTGCCGGCTGAAGCCTCTACTGCACGGATTCAAAACCTTACGTCCCTACGAGTCATTTAAACACCAACATCAGTGAAAGTAGGGCCCAGGTTTAAAAAATACTGAAACTGCCCTTTAAGTAAAGGTGACTTGTCTGGAGTCCCTAATGTTTGTGTTCGTTAGCTTTAAGTTATGCACACAAGATATTAAACAGGAAATTAGATCCATCGTGTTTTAGGACTTTGCTGCCTTTAAAGTAACAAAAACACACTAGTGTTGTAGTACTCAAGACGGGTCTTAAGACCACTTTTTGATGGTCTTGTCTCGGTCACTGAGGACTCGGGATTTAATTTCAAGAGCAGTGAAGACGTAACTTTGGGAATATCAATAAACTGCTTTTGTAAAACTTATTGCTTCAAATTAAACCAATGACCCTAATTAAAAATGTGTTACCGTTAACGACGGTAACCCCCCCCCCCTCCCTGCGACGGTCAGCGTGGAAAAGGAGTGTTGACTAAAGATGCTTATGTTGATTTCAGCTCTTAGTGTTTGTATGTGGGCGTTTTAATGGGAATCTGGATCTTTCACATCAATGTGAGAAGTAATGTAGGAAACTGGTCTTGACTACAACACTAGCACACACAATAAAAAAATGTTATCTTCTAGGGCTTTACTGGTGTGCAACAATAATCTGCGTACAAAGTCCTAAAGATAATATTGTTTATTGTATGTGCACAAAGATCCAGATCTTGTGTGCACAAGCAAATCATTTCTCCCGACGCGATAAAACAAACATCGTCTTTTGGAAGTTTGAACCGCTGGTGTGGCCCTTTAAGTTTTATTTGTTGAATAAAAAAGGGTTGGATAGAAAAATGGATTTATACTCCAAAGTACAGTTTTGGCATCTGTACTGAACCTCAGGCATGATTTTGGCAGCAGAATTAAAACATGTGGCAGTAAAGAAGCAGCAGGACGTTTATCCAGCGTTAAAACCTGCATCATGTCTATTTAACATGAGTCAATGGAGTCTCTACATGTCACCCACAGCCGATCTGTCAGAGCAGAAACGTGCATTAAAGAGACTCCACATCCAGCTCCAGGCTCCTCCCACCAGTGACCTCAGCCTCCTCTGATAGGCTGAGCTTTGTTCAGGCGAGACGCAGCTGGATTAGTTTCCTGCCTCAGGTTGGTTGTTTCTCCTCAGAGTGACGGGAGGACGGCGTTCTGTCCCACTGGAGGAAGAGGAGGATGAAGAGCAGGGGGTGCTATGAGGAGGCGAGGATGAGGAGGAGGACGAGCAACATGGCGGACAGCAAGGTGAGGCGGGGCAGAGCGAAGCCGCAGCCGCCGGTGGTGTCGTCTGTCAGGAAGGGCTCCGGAGACTCGTACACCGAGTCATCTGAGAGAGACACAAACAGTAAGTAATCTCACGTGGACTAAAGAAGAAGAATATATTTCATCTGTGGTATTTAGCTCCTCCCCCTGAATGATGTCATCCCTGACCTGCAGGTTCACACCCATACTCAGAAAATGTCCTGGTTGATGGAGACGTTAACGCTGCACAGGAACAACACTGAAGGCTTCATCAGTTCTGACTGGCTCAGGTATTTAACGTCTGTGGGGTCGTTATCTAAGTGATGCCGCTTGATTCGTTAGTGCTCCTGTCCTGGCTGTTGTGACGACAGGCGTGCGATTCACCTGAGGCCAAATGAGTGTTTGGAAGAGATGAAAGGACAGCGTTGTCGGTGGGGGATAAGTGGCGTCTCAGCCCTCCTCCACAGATATGGTCTCTCTATTCTGGTCTAAATCGCTTCTTTCTCGTCGTTCCAACCATCGGTCCTCCCTGTCCAGAATATGAGCATTGTTGGCGCTGAAAGTGTCTCTTCTCCTTCAGATGTAGGTAAACTGCTGAGACCTGAGGAGTTCTGTGCTGAGCCATGCGTTTGTGTAGTGGTTGTTTAGTTTCCCCAGTATATTCAGGCCTCAGCATACACTAGATTCTTGTCTTAGTGTGTTCTTGGGTTTAAAAAACACAGGGATGTTGTGTTTGTTGAAAATCCTCCTGAGTTTCTCTGATACTCCAGACACGTATGGAATCACGAGGTTGTTGCGTTCGACCTTCTTCTCCTCGTCCCCTGTAGTTTTGGTCTTCCTGGATCTGTCCACAGGCTGTAAGTGCCCCCTGCAGGTGTTTATCCTCCTCTTGGGCTTTGGTACTTCTTGGTGGGTTCTGGTGGAAATCAAAGTGTAAGTATTGTCTGTATGGGGGTGTGTTCCTGTAAACTTCAGTCCAGGAAAGCCAAACTGTTGGTGACGTGTGAACTTGGCGTTACTGTTCGCAGAGTTGATGTGTTCTGTGAAGGCTTGCACTTCCTGGGTTTTCATTTTGACCCCTGTGTCGTCCACATACCTGTACCTGTTCCTCTGCTTTCTGCTCCCTCCAATAGGAGACCCCGGTGAGCCCACGGCACAGCCGTGCTTCTGTCTTTCCGTTGTACTGGAAATAGATGGTGTTCAGACAGAAGTCCAGCAGTTCACACTCTCTCCACGGTTTCATCTGGGCCAGTTTCAGTCCTCGAACCTTTTTCACAAAGTCAGTCGAGTTTTGGATGTGGCGAGGTGGGTTGTCAGCCAAGGGGGCTCGGACAGTGTTTGACAATGTTGTAGTAACCGATTTGATGCTGCTGATAATGGACCTGAGAGGGGTTCCTTCTTTGTGTGTCTCAGGTAGCCCAGGTGTTCCCAGGTGCTGATTTTCTTCTTCTGTAGCTGTTGTAGACACACTATGGCCTTGTTCTTGCGGGATCTCATTAGTGTCACTGAGTAGTGCACTGACCCCGGCAGGGTAGTCCCCTGTGTTTAGGACCAGGGTGCACCTTCCCTGTGATGTCACGGCTTTTCTTTCCTGGATGTTGGAAAGTGGTGCCAGTAGCTGTTCTGCTTCTGTGAAGTTGTTTTTTCTTATGGCTGATTCTGCAGCTGTGGTGTGATGGCAACTTTAATCCATTGGACAGAACGTCTCGCTATGTTTAGGAGAGTTCCCGTTCTTACGGGTTCTTCACCCAGCTGTTGTCTGTTTTGGAATTATCGTTCTTTCTTCCAACACTGTACTGAGTAGATGTGTTTCCAGTTTGTAGAGTAAGTCAGGGCTTCAGTGGTGGAGCTGGTATTGTGTCTTCTCCAGGATCATTCCAGCTCTTCCGTATGAGTCTATGTTGTCAGCGTCTCAGGATAAAGGGTTCGTGATTTCTGTAGTCTGCCACTTTCCTGCCTGTTCTGACGGTGTCCCAAAATGCTTAGAAAGATGTCATCCAGGTCATGGTTAAAATCAAGGGGGACTGGACATTTAGAAACAGACATCTTTCTAAGCATGTTGGGACACTCAGAAAATTGCAGACTACAATAATCACACAGGGTTTAGCCTGAGATGCCAACAACATAGGCCTATACCAAGGATCCACGGTGAAAGGACTCAGAGCTGGAATGATCCTGGAGAAGACACAATACCAGCTACTAAGTGAGAGTGAAACAGATCAACTTCCCCAGTGAAGCCCTGAATAAAGTCTGAGGGCTTAGACCACAAACTGGAAACACCATCTGCCCAGTACAGGTTTGGAAGAGATCATTTCATCAAAAAAGCTCAACTATCTCGCCACTCCAAGAGCGAGCAAGGGTAGACCCGGAAATTTAAAAACCTGGGGTCACAAGCTGGTAACACTAAGAACACAGAAGAACCTACCTGGAGGCAAAAGAATGATAAATCCACACTGTATGAAACAGACAACAGCTGGGTGAAGAACCCGTAAGAACGGGAACTCTACTAACCATAGCGAGACGTTCTGTCCAACGGATTAAAGTTGCCATCACACCACAGCAGCTACCAACAGTTGACCTCATCACAGCTGCAGAATCAGCCATAAGGGAAACTTCACAGAAGCAGAACAGCTACAGGAACAACTTTCCACCCTCACCGCTCAGGAAAGGGAGGCAGTAACATCACTATCCTACCTGCTGTCAAGGGAAGGTGCACCATGGTCCTAAACACGGGACCACCGTGCCTGGGTTAACGCACCACTCAGTGAGCTCATACATATGAAACACTGAACTGAGATCCCACCAGTGGATTTAAGAAGAAAGCCTCCGGTCCATGACCAGCAGCATCAACTCTGTTACCCACAACATTAGCCAACACTGTCCCAGTCCCCTTGGTCAGCAACAGACCTCAACACATCCAAAACTACGTAGGCTTTGTGAAAAAGGTTCGAGGACTGAAACTGGCCCAGATGAAACCGTGGAGAGAGTGTGAACTGCTGGACTTCTGTCTGAACACCATCTATTTCCAGTACAACGGAAAGACAGAAGCACGGCTGTGCCGTGGGCTCACCGGGGTCTCCTATTGGAGCAGAAAGCAGAGGAACAGGAACAGGTATGTGGACGACACGGGGGTCAAAATGAAAACCCAGGAAGTGCAAGCCTTCACAGAACACATCAACTCTGCGAACAGTAACGCCAAGTTCACACGTCACCAACAGTTTGGCTTTCCTGGACTGAAGTTTACAGGAACACACCCCCATACAGACAATACTTACACTTTGATTTCCACCAGAACCCACCAAGAAGTACCAAAGCCCAAGAGGAGGAGGATAAACACCTGAAGGGGGCACTTACAGCCTGCGGACAGATCCAGGAAGACCAAAACTACAGGGGACGAGGAGAAGAAGGTCGAACGCAACAACCTCGTGATTCCATACGTGTCTGGAGTATCCGAGAAACTCAGGAGGATTTTCAACAAACACAACATCCCTGTGTTTGTTAAACCCAAGAACACACTAAGACAGATGCTGGTCCTCCCCAAAGACAAGAATCTAGTGTCTGCTGAGGCCTGAATATACTGGGGAAACTAAACAACCACTACACAAACGCATGAAGGGCCAGTTCCTCAGGTCAGGACTCAGCAGTTTACCAACATCTGCAGGATAAACCATCTGTCAATGGGGGAGGAGACACCACTTATCAGCCACCTACAACGCTGTCCTTTCATCTTTTCCCAGGAGAACAAGTGACTCAAACTACTGTCGTCACAGGATCCATCACTTTGACCCCCAGCAAGTCATTCGGACCTGAAGAAGCCTCTTGGATGTGAAGCGAAACGTCTTCGAGTATCTTCAACCAAGTCCAGTTGCCCTTGATTTTAACCGATCACTCAATAAAGATTAAGTTCTCTGATCTTCAGAATAAAAGCAGACTGTTGAGTCGGGTCAATTTTGTTTATACAGCCCAAATTCACAAATCTAAAAAAATCACTCTTTTAAAGTTTGGTCATGTGTTATTTTCACCCAGTGATCTGCACATTAGCCAATCAGATCTGATTATTAATGTAGAATTTCTGAGGGTGAAGTTCAGGAGACTTTGTACACTGTCTAACATGCTGTGACCCCTGAATGCATCATTTTAACAGTTTTTAACTGTAATTACTTACTTAGGAGCCTGAAGATGTTTTGTAAATAAGAAATAAACACTACCAGTCAAAAGTTTCAGAATGTCTCCATGTTTGTAGTTGTTCTGTAAATCTAAGTAGTTTCAAAGTTAAAAACAAGGTTTACGTCACCAAAACAATTTCAGATCTACAATTAAATGAAGGCGTTTTGTTCATTATTTCACTGTAGGATCAACCGATGACCAGCTGCTCTGTCTGCCTTCATTAATATATATATATATATAATTAGTCCAAATAAAGCTTCTGAGGTGCATTAACAGGCTGTTCCAAGGCGTTTCCTGTAGAAATATGGTTCATTTCCTTCCACTGCTGCAGAATAATCAAAGAAGATAAAGACAGAGTTCAGGTCAGATAAAGAATTTTTAGGGATCAATAACGAGTTAACAACTTCTGCAGCAGTGGAAGGAAAAGAAGCCTTTAAAGTCATTACTTATATTTCAATACACACTAGAAACATGGGGCTGTTCTGAAACTTTGACCGGTAGTGCGCGTTCTTCTAGTATTGACTGTCGCAGTATTACGTCACTGACTCTGGGATGAACGTGAGTTCTTCTGTTGCTTTAATGTAACAAAATCCTAAAAGTCAGTCCTAATCAGTGTTTCTGCTGGAAAACTTAATCACTAACCTGCTTTTCCTGCCGTTTTGTTTTAATATAGTTTTATATCTCGGCGTTTAGAAATGTGTAAAAGAGCAGCGGCTGTTTGTGAACGCTGCTCTGTGGCCTCTGTGTGGCTGAACGCCTCCTGCACAGACAGTTTCTTCACACATGGAAGCAAATAAAGTTCAGATTCTTCTAATCAACTTCATCAAACAGACGTCTGAGAACTGAAGACTTTCATTTAGGTTTTAAAGGACAGGCTGTCTTATTAAAGGGACATTACTTAAAATACTTCACACACAGGAGATCTACAGAAGTAATGTGTGTCAGTCTCTTCAGTAACAGCAGATACGACTGGACGCTACAGAAAGATCAACTTTTAATATCCAGCAGGAGCCTGAACTTCACACGGAGACGCTGCTGCTGTTAGATGTTCAGTTTGCTTTAACGTGATAACCGTCATTATCAGTACTCTGTAGGATGATACAGAAATTTCTAAACAGGATCAAACGGTTGAATCTCTACGTGGGTGCACATATTATTAATCAGATCTCCTGATTTAGAAGCAATAAAAACAAACCGGCTATCTTTTTAAAATCCTTGATTCTTTATCCTTCTGAGACGCTTCCTTTCTTTTCATTATTTTACTTTCTGTCTGTGTCTTCGTGCTCTCTGTTGTGTTGTAACGAACTAATACAGATGCCTGTTTGTGTTCAATAAAGTGGGAAAAAATGAACTTTATTTCCGTATGTTTCACCGGCAGAATCAGGACGCCGTTCAGAGCTGCGTTCACAAAACAGACCGCCGCCTGCAACGATGTTATAAACGCCAGCTGGAGATCTAAAGCTATAGTAATAGATAAAACATGGACCGGCGGGGGAAAGGAGACGAGTAATGACCTTAGCAATTTCAATCTACAAACGTACCAAACAGTGAAACCAGAGAGAGTCGGGCTCATTAACAGGAAATGATTCTCAGCCGTCCGAAGAAAGTTAACGTTAAGGGCAACTGCACTGGTTGAAGAGACTTGAAAGATGTGACTATAAAACTTGTGCTTTGGATGTCGAAGCTTCAGAATTAAAGGATAAAGTTTCAGCAAGAGGAAGAGGAGACTCACTGGTTGGCTTGACGTAGATTTTGAGCTTCAGACAGGGTTTCCCAGCCAGGTTTGGATGTGGAGACGCTGCAGAGAGAAGACAGCAGATCAACTAGGGCGACAAAAAAAATCCGTTAAATCTAGCTGCAAAACAGACACTGACAGCAGCTCGTGTTAAACTCTCTGCCGGTTGCATTAACACCACTAATAATAATAATATCAGACCTCAGGAGGATGATGATGATGATGATAAAGGTTTGTGTAAAAGTGCTTTGCATCAAACTGTTCATGAAAAACAACAAATAAATTAAAAGGTGATGAATTCTATTCTAATTATTGGACCCGTCTATGGTTTCTGATGTCGTCAGTGTGACGATGAAGATTACGTTCAGCCCTGACAGGTCACCTGGGTCTGTCTGAAGCCCCGCCCCTCCAGGTGTTTGTCACAACATGCCTCTGATGCTGCTGCTGTCGTCGCTCCCAGCAGGGATGAAAACAAGCTCGCCCTCAGCGTTTCTCTGTGGGCAAACAAACACCCGGGAGCCGTTTGTCCCTGAAGCCGAGGGAAACGTTTAGCTCCATCACACAGCCGGAAGTTTAGGTTTCTGCAAATTCCTTTTTTTTTGTTTCTCCATTTGAAGACAGACATTAGGAAAAAGCCCAACGGGTCTAGAAGAAAACTTAAACAAAGTGATAACATGCGCTCTGATATTGTTCATGTATCTATTTTCACAGCGAGCGCTCTGATTGGTGCAGCCCAGTTCAGTTTGACCTCAGTAAATTCTGCTTGCAGCGTCAGCTGAGCTGCTGTTCGCCCTCTCCGCCAGCAGGGGGCAGTATGAGTTTGTGTCTGTTTTAAATCCAGGTTATTGATCCAGATGGATTTAATGTTCTTTGCACCACCAGCTTCAGCTCAGAGTTCAGCTGTGACTGAAACATGGAGACACAGCTGCTCTCTCTGCTCCTGACCCAGCGTGGAGAATATACAACATTATGTCCCGCAGAGAATCCAGACACATCATTTATTCAGCATGTGAGCGCATTCTTAAAATGGCATTAATAAATATATAAATGTTATGACTAGGACAGACGGTCGGGACATTTTACGAGCTCGGCGAGACCTGAGGGTCAACAAAGACAGCCTCTTACTGTCAGGGAAGGAGGAGGTGCTCAGTGCTTTGAGGGACGCCATCAGAGATAAGGAGGCCACATGCTGAGCTGCTCATCTGCTCATTTTTTAACTTTAATTAGGGGTCCAAGCCCGAGCGGAGCTGGGAACCCTATTGTTTTGTATTGGTTTTTATCTTCCGTGCATAAAAGTGACACTGCGGCCTACAGACGCGACACTCTCAGCTTCACAGCCCCGAGAGTAACTTGGGTGCAAAAATTCGCACACTTCTACCTCTAGGTGGCGCTAAAAGCAAGGTCAACGCGTTTGGGCTTGAACTCCTGAAGGCGAAAGCGGATATCAAAAACCTTCATGATAACCTATTTTAATTAACTCCTCCGAAGCAGCAAGTCCGATCGGAACCAAACTTTGCACGGAACATCTCTGGACCGAGCTGGTAAATTTTGATTCGCAAAATAATGTCCCAATTTTAAGCTAACAAATGTTTGAGAAAACGCAAAAAACTGGATGTGATGTCATATCTTAGCTTTGCAATGGCCGATCTAAACCAAACTCGGGGACCTTATGTGGCACGCACTCCCGAGGGGCTGTGTGAAATTTGGTGTCAATCAGCCTCTAGGTGGCGCAATTAATCCTATATGAAATGACACTCCCATAGACATCCATTCATTTTACATCATACATAACTGGAAGTCCCTTTAATTTCAAACTCTCGTCGTTTATTCGCCGCGGGCGTAGTACTCTGAAATGCTCAGCAGTACTTACAGATGTAGTAGTACTCTGAAATGCTCGGCAGTACTTACAGATGTAGTAGTACTCTGAAATGCTCGGCAGTACTTACAGATGTAGTAGTACTCTGAAATGCTCGGCAGTACTTACAGATGTAGTAGTACTCTGAAATGCTCGGCAGTACTTACAGATGTAGTAGTACTCTGAAATGCTCGGCAGTACTTACAGATGTAGTAGTACTCTGAAATGCTCGGCAGTACTTACAGATGTAGTAGTACTCTGAAATGCTCGGCAGTACTTACAGATGTAGTAGTACTCTGAAATGCTCGGCAGTACTTACAGATGTAGTAGTACTCTGAAATGCTCGGCAGTACTTACAGATGTAGTAGTACTCTGAAATGCTCGGCAGTACTTACAGATGTAGTAGTACTCTGAAATGCTCGGCAGTACTTACAGATGTAGTAGTACTCTGAAATGCTCGGCAGTACTTACAGATGTAGTAGTACTCTGAAATGCTCGGCAGTACTTACAGATGTAGTAGTACTCTGAAATGCTCGGCAGTACTTACAGATGTAGTAGTACTCTGAAATGCTCGGCAGTACTTACAGATGTAGTAGTACTCTGAAATGCTCGGCAGTACTTACAGATGTAGTAGTACTCTGAAATGCTCGGCAGTACTTACAGATGTAGTAGTACTCTGAAATGCTCGGCAGTACTTACAGATGTAGTAGTACTCTGAAATGCTCGGCAGTACTTACAGATGTAGTAGTACTCTGAAATGCTCGGCAGTACTTACAGATGTAGTAGTACTCTGAAATGCTCGGCAGTACTTACAGATGTAGTAGTACTCTGAAATGCTCGGCAGTACTTACAGATGTAGTAGTACTCTGAAATGCTCGGCAGTACTTACAGATGTAGTAGTACTCTGAAATACTCGGCAGTACTTACAGATGTAGTAGTACTCTGAAATACTCGGCAGTACTTACAGATGTAGTAGTACTCTGAAATACTCGGCAGTACTTACAGATGTAGTAGTACTCTGAAATACTCGGCAGTACTTACAGATGTAGTAGTACTCTGAAATACTCGGCAGTACTTACAGATGTAGTAGTACTCTGAAATACTCGGCAGTACTTACAGATGTAGTAGTACTCTGAAATACTCGGCAGTACTTACAGATGTAGTAGTACTCTGAAATGCTCGGCAGTACTTACAGATGTAGTAGTACTCTGAAATACTCAGCAGTACTTACAGATGTAGTAGTACTCTGAAATACTCGGCAGTACTTACAGATGTAGTAGTACTCTGAAATACTCAGCAGTACTTACAGATGTAGTAGTACTCTGAAATGCTCGGCAGTACTTACAGATGTAGTAGTACTCGTGTCCGGGCCTGAACTCGAAGCCCAGGCTGAAGGGCGTGAAGAGCTGGAACTTCTCGGAGAACTTGAGGGGCCCGTTGGGGCTCTGGGGCCGGTTGCACTCCCAGCGTTTGAAGCCCTTCCTGTGGTGGTCGCAGCTCGTGTAGCCGTCGTAGTTCACCATGTACAACACGTAGTGCTCCATGCGCTCGGCGGGCTCCGCCACCTCGTAGTGCGGACAGTAGATGTCCAGGTAGTCGTTGATGGCCACCTCCACCGTGTAGTCGCCCCGGAAGAACCTGAGGAAGAGAAGTGATGTCATTTCCTGTTGTCTCCAGCTGTTAACAGCTGTGCTAAAAACAAACACCTTCCCAGAGAAAGAAGTGAGGTCGCTGCTCTGTGAAGCTCTACAACCTAAAGACACGTTCACGTGTTCGAAGAGACACACCTGTTCACACCTGCCTCAGCGAATCACAGAGAGCTTTACTGCCAAGCAGTATTTTACACGTACGAGGGATTTACTTACAAAGACAAAGACATAAACATCCTGGTGACATTAATAGATTTAAAAACATATAAATACGGAATAAACAGATGCAAGTTAGAGAAGAATTAAAGAAAACAAAATGTTATTTTCATTTACTCTGAAAATACAAGGGAGAGGATTTGTATTTATATAAGAAGTGACAAAATATCAAAGAATAATAAGGAATATGTGCAATAAGACTGTGTGTGTTGCGAAGGGAAGCATCTGTGTTATTTCCCGACTGGGAACAACAGCTCAGAAAGTCTGAGAGAGTTTTGACGTCATACATGTAGAAACGTTTGATTAAAAGTGTGAAATCATGTATTGCATTTAAATGTTTTGCTAAGGTGTCATTTTTAAATGCTGTCCCTGTCGAGCGACCTAGATTAATTAGGAAATGTATGTATTTGCAGTACAAGCAGTATTTTAGTGGTTCCAGGTACTGGTGCAGTAACAGCTCTTTGATGAGATCTTTGTAGCGGCGTCCGTGTTGTTTAAACGTTAAAGCACGTGAACACACCGCAGAGGAAGAGCGGCTTCACAGCTCGGGACGTGGGGCCCTCGGAGGAGCACCTGAACGCAGCAACAATCAGAAACGCTTCAAGACCACGTGAAGCTCTTTGATTGGCTGTTTGTTAGTGAACTGCACCCTGGGAGTTGTAGTCTTCTTCACTTTATGTCATACACAGCTAACAGTTAGCAACGTGTGGAAACATTAGCCACCAGCTAACGAGTAAACAACCTGTTAGCAACAAGCACATGTTGTAGTTATTCTCAGCAGTGGACGAAGTACACAAATACTACTACTGTACATCAGTAAAAGTAGAGTATTACTCCACTGAATGTATAAGTACATAAAGACTACTTTTAAAAATATCTAAGTATCAAAAGTAAAGAGTGCTGATAGCGTGATGACAGACAGAATTTAATAATACTCGAGGAATCAAACACTTATTATAAACAGCTTTCAATGATAATTTAACACTCAGTTTTTATATTTTTATATTATATACACACACACACACATATATATATATATATATATATAAAATATACACACACATATATGTATGTGTGTATTCAGATACTTAAGTAAAAGTCCTGCATTGAAAATGTTCTTAAAATAAAGTATGTAAGTATAACCAGGAAAATATACTTGAAGTATTAAAAGTACTCACTGTCCTGTGACTGTTATACTATTATATATTAGATGATTATTATTCCTCATCATTAAAGTAAAAGCAGGATTTTACTGCTGTAGTTGTTGATTTTAACTGTTTAGCATCAGACTGCAGCTGGTTCTTGTTTCTGTTCTGGATTCACTTCATTATTATTGTCTCCATGTAAAGTTCAGATCGCATACCTCTAATTTGTACACAAGTACTTGAGTACTTAATTACTGTCCACTACGTGTTCTAGTTATTATTTTAACACCAAGAATAATTAATTAAAGTATTTTAATCCAGTTTTAATGCATTTCATGTGTTCGTGTATTCTCAGGCCTGCTGAGCCGCCGTTTACCTCCAACACATGGAAACCGTTGATCACTGTCTGCGTGTGTGTTTCCCCCCCGAGGCTTCAATTAATCAGAAGTAACTGTTTATCGCAGCGCCGTCGTGTTTACAGACGGGAGATCCGACTCGCAGCTGGACTCACTTCCTGTTTGCTGCCAGCGCTGCTCAAACCCGTGTTAAACAAAGTTTTACAAGGTTTTCTGATGATGTCACACGTGTCTGTCGCCGGTACAAAAATACACAGAAATAGTTTTTGTTACACTAAAATCTAATAATACCACAGAGCAGAACTGAACCACCTCACTGCTGTAAATCAGCCGCCATGATGGTGAGCTGCTGGACAGGATGTGGGTTTTGTTGTTGATTTGATTTAAGTCAGATTTCACGTCAGGTCAGTGTGTTCTGTCCTGTGAATAAGAGCATGAAAACAAACTGAGGTGTTCCAGACTCAGACGTGAATCATGGCGACGTACGGCGAGTGCTCGCCTACAGCAGCCGGGCTATTACGCTACCTGGACTCTTTCCACCTGAGGCAGCAGTGGAAGCTCCCCGTGCTGATGCTACCGCTGCTGTACGGTGGCCAGGAGGGGGCAGCGTGGTGCACAAACCTCTTTCAATATGAAACGTTACGTTGACTTCAGGACAGAGACAAACAACATGCACCACTGGAAGACGGTCTGTTTCTGGTTTCTGGTCTCCAGGTTGAAGCCGCTGCCCTGTCGAAAAATGCTACCATGTGTTCCCATTTCCAATCCCATACAGGTATAACTCTGTTTTTTGATTATATTATAACATCATTTCAAGGGCAGCGTATTCTGACTAATATCCCCCATCAAATAAAGCTCCCACTACAGAATCATTTTCTATCGCACCACTACTCACACTGCACTGTACGGAGATGGGGAGCATGTTGAAATACTATATTATGCCATCTTTATTTAAGATATCAGGGGCAGCGTATTCTGATAGACTAATAATTATTTTCTTTTTCATATTGCTGACGATCAGCCGGCTGTACAGGCGCTCTGATGTCTTTAGACCAGAGGTCTCAAACTCACCCCGAGGGCCACATCAGGCCCCTCCTCACCCATCATCTGGCCGTATTATTTTTTTATTTAATGGTATTTTATAGCGGTTTCACGCCAATTCAAGCTACCCTTTCTGAAATAATTAAAATAAAAACACAGCTTTTAAACGTCTTCTTTTACTTGAAAGACCAAGTAAAAACAGAAGGTGGACGATGAACACAGAGTTTAACAGAAATGCTACCTGCCTGATGTGCAACGACAGAGTTGCTGTTTTAAAGGAATATAATATAAAGCTACTGGACTCAGAGGACAACACGAGGATTTATATCATAAAGCAGGAGGCTGAAGCAGCAGGTTACGTGGTGACTGAATGAGAGCCGTTCACCCAATAACTGCATGGTGAGAGTTTGTTTTTAAAAGAGCAAAGACGGTGGCGGAGTTACCCGACAAAGTTAAAGCTGCCACAGCACACTCATAAAAACATACAGCCAACAACGCTCGGCTCGCCATTTTCACCAGGGGTATTAATCTGAAGTTATTTCAGCAGCTGTGTGACGCGTGAATGTGTCTGAAGTTCAGACAGTTTCCCCAGTTTGGTATCACAGAAGCAAATCTAACTTCAGGAATCAGGAAGTCCTAAACACTCAACAGTCTGTTACCTAGCAACCGACGCCGGCGTTTTTTGAATGAAACAACAACTATCGCTGAACTTGAAGCCGGAGGTCTTGGAGGTGTTGGCGACGCTTTAGTCGGGACATTCCAGAGAGGCGGCGGGCCGAAACGGCCGACTCGGCGTCCGCCGTCTGTCCTGCGGCCAGCTGATGCCGTCAGAAAGAAACTCCGTCCCTCTACAGTGAGACCGAGAGAAAGGCGGCTGTTGCGTCCAGAGAGCAGAGGAACGCCGGCTCCTCCTGCGCTCCGTCGCCGACCCCGGCAGGAACCCCAACCTTAATACTGAAGGTAGATAATAGGACGCGGGCTGCGGGCTGACGGCGGCGTGTTGTCATGCGTTTCTGCTCTCTAACCATCTCCTGCTGTCAAAGAGTCGCATTAAGATGCTTCTGTTCCACCAAACCTTCACTTCACGCTACATAAGGAGACGTTACCCGGCGTCACGTCGCAGCCGGCCTTTCTGCGTCGGTTCGCGAGTTCGGCCTGCTGACGTGGCGTTGATCTGGTAACGGCAGTAAAAGAGCCGCGCGGACTAAACGAGTCAGAAAACAGCAGCCGGAGGAAAAGCTGAACACTTCTCCTCAAGTTAGGAGAGTTTATTTAAGACGCTTCTGTAAAAGCCGTTTCCTGTCTTCAGTTAGTTCCTATCACCATGGTTACCCAGTGGTTAGGATAGGATCTGCTGGTTTCTGAAATGCGGCCCCAGGGGCCCAATGTGATGTACTTACTGTATGTATAATTATGAGTTACATATTTACTGAAATGTGGTGCATTCTCAAGTATATTATCCTCTAAGTGTAAATCTGACAGCTTTAAATACAACTTATTACACAAAAAAATGTTCAAAATACATTTTTAAGAATATTGTACTTTCTTGTGGCCCTTCTATGAGAGGACAGTACCAACAGTGGCCCCTGCTTCAGACTCTTTAAGGAGCCGGTTACAAACTGACGAGCCGCCGTCAACCTGGAACAGAGAGACCGGCTCCGTCGTCACATCATCATCATCCACGCCGGCTGCCATCAACACGATGAGCGAGCGCAGTAAATACATCTCTATAATGTTTATACTCGCTTTGTGTATTTTTATTTCATGTGTGTTTTTACTCTGCGTTCCTGTGAGAGACTCCAACGTCCACATCTTTGCAACAGACAGAGTCAAGTTTCTGATTTCTTTAATTACAGAGAAACTTTTTCACACAGGAAAATGAATCACTTTTAATTTTGATCATTTAAATGAACAGTTTTATCAATAAATCATTCTCTAGACGTCTCCGATGTTTCTGTCTGTTTTCTGTCTCAGTCGTCACAGTTTTCTAACGTCTAACAGACAAAAACATTCTTTGATTAATCCTCACGGTCAGACAGAACACAGACGTCCGTCCTCTCCTGTAAACCCGTTTGATGTGAATCAGTAAGAAGTGTTTGTTTCCTCACGACTCCTCCTCACAGCTGCTCCGTCACGCTGTTGCTGTAATTTACATAATTTAATTTAGCGCACACAGATCTCACACCTCCTTATCACAAATAATCATCATTCAACAAATCGATCTCAGAAAACAA